TATAACATTTTGTTTGTATATAGTGCATCAGGCTACTGATTAGGTACATCGTGTTAACCTATTGTCTATTTTCAGGTGAAATTAATAAAGAAAATTGAAGAAAAAGTCAAAATAGAAGATCTAAACGAAGTCTGTCCCATAGTAAGTTTATAAGTGTTGTACCTTCAGTGATTATGTTTTAACTCCTTTGTATAATAATCAAGACTATGTACCGATTATATTACTTTTTAAACATGTACTGTACTGTCAGTCGAGAGAACTAAGTGGTCTCCGAAAGCTAGTAAAGCACTTTGACGAATACCTATAAAAGTTAAGTATGGGATCAGTGTTTCTCAATAAGTATAAAAACATAATAGCAGTGAAAGGCAGTAGAAATGTGCGTTAAACTGATTATGTTAGACATGATATATTTCTTTAAATTTGTAAATATCTGTAAAATTTTCTTTTTTGACCAGATCGAATGGGCTGTTATATTTAAAAGTGTATTCCATGAAATCGACTATGAATCATACATGAATTTGGACATTGTTGTAGAAGACAAACATTTCTTGATGGAAATATGTGATAAGTACAGTTCAGCTATGAAAAAAAGATATGGAAATAGGTAATCTTCCGGAAATTGAGTTTTATACTTTTCGAAACGATTTATTTCAATGAAAGCCACGCTCTTCCATTTTGACTGAGTATTAATGACGTCCCTTATATACTTGATATTCAAAGTTACCTAATTATTATAAGAAGTGTATTATGTGTATCTCAGATGATTAACTGTAGTCAATACATGAGAGTATATAAGATCTAGAAAAATCTGAAGCCCAACAGATATATTTGCACTTGGCATCTGTCAGAGATGAGAATCTGTGAACCGTAAACATACCTAATAATATTATTTCTGTGAAATATTAACAAAAAATGACATTTATGTGCAAAGTGTAGATAATTTCATATTATTTTCACTATTGAGGGGAAGTATGAATTCCATGAACGTGTATACTTTGAGCACGGAAGTAAAGAACAATGTTGATTTATTTCAAGGAGACAAAACGATTATTTAACGAGACTTTGATTTTATGAAAATCAATGTGTTTATTCCTAGTCGTCCTGCGAAAATGATCGTGTACAATTATGTACAGAAGTTTTTCTGTTTGTTACCTCATTTTTTGTTTTGCGATCAGCCAAGATTTGTCGTGTGGTGAGAATGAACAGATTTCTAAGTGCATTCGTCGGAATAATTTAGTTCATCAATTTGATTTACACACAGATTATTGTGTGAACTGTTTTCACGTCGAAGTCATGATTGTGACGAGAAAATACTACTATATGAACTACTATATGAAGTGCATTTATTCTTTTGATTCCGTTCCATGACAATATAATAAATATGCATATGTAAAAGAATAATAATAACTCCACCAAACGCACATCAGTACTGGATGTTTGGCTGCCAGACGAATAAGGATAGAGAATCCGCGGAACCTGAAAACATTCCAGCAGAGGCACTTAAATCAGATTTCGTAGCAACTTCCAAAATATTTCACATTCTTTTAGGATGTTGTCTAGTTCCATTGCATTGCTGCTCTTGATTTTCCTGATGATCATGCTAACCTCCTCATTTTTTGGTTGGATAACGTCGATTGGGAGACCCGTAAATGCTGTATACATGTTGAGTGGGTTTAGTGGAGTTGATAGATTCAAGAGCTCCTTATATTGATCTACCGCCTGTTTAGCTAATCTTCAGTGTCGCTGATTGCTACGCCTTCCTTGCTTTTCACTGTCCGTTCTGGTTTACGATAGTTTCCAGCGAGCTTCTTTATCTTATCGACAAATGTCTCAGGTTTCCTTTACTTGCAGCCTTTCTCGCCGTCATTGCTAGATTTTCCACAAATTTACGTTTGTCGGCTACGATGTTCCTCTTCGCTTGCTTGTTTGCTTCTGTGTATTTAGCCTGTGCCTTTACTTCATCTGCTCTTGTTCGGCTGATGTTGATTGTTGCATTATTAGTCCTACTTTCTTGAAGCTTCAAGAGTACCAACAGAGATCGATTTCTTGATATACTGCTTCTTGTGGCTCAGAACCTCTTGAAATTTTGAAGTTCTTTCTACCTTTATCCCATTTCACTTGTTCTTCATAGTGTATTTCTTTTGTAAAGCATGTCATAAATTGCTGAGTGTTCACTTGAATTCGTTGGATTATCATTATTTCAAAGAAAGGCTGTTTTAAAATTCTGCGATGTTTTCTGCCCTATCTTCCTGTGTCAATTTAGTTTTTTTTGTCATGTTGACGATTGACAAGTTGTGATCAGACGCTATTTCTGCTCTTCTCTTAGTTCTCACGTCCTGTTTGTCCGTTCTGAACTTTCTATTTGTACCGATATGGTCGATTCGCTTCTGCGAATTGTGACCCGGTGAAATAAATTTAGATTGGAATATAGGTTTGTTTTAGAATATAGTGAATGCGGATAGAATTGCGAGTCTCTCACTATCTTCGTTTTAGTTCCATACCCCCAGTTCAAGTCGTCTCATGATATCTTCACATCCATTGTTGTCCATATCAAACTTGGCATTTTTATATAAAACTGAAACTTTACGGGTCATTGTGGAACAATAAATTGAATGGAAATCATCACTTCACATCGACTTCATTGACTACGAGAAAGCGTTTGATAGCGTAAACAGGAGAACACTATGAAGGCTTCTTCGACAATGCAGCTTGCCAGAGAAGATAGTCAACATCCTACGGAATTGGATTAAACAGCTGCCAGAATCGTTAGAACTGATGACCGGTGTCAGTCACGGTTGCTTACTCTCACCGTTTATCTTTCTCCTGGTGATCTACTGAATTATGAAGACATCAACATCTGGAGGGAAGTATTGTTTACAGTGGGAAACCAGGATCTATCTGGATGATCTGGCTCTTCTATCGCACACGCAGCATAAAATGCAAGAGAAGAAGCAGCAGCCTCTGCAACAGTAGGTCTCAACATACATAAGGGGAAAAGCAAGATTCTAAGATACAGCACAACATGCGCCAACCAAATTACACTCTATCTAGATGCTTTGGAGTGTGCTTAAACCTTTATACGTTTGGGCAGTATCATCGGAAATCAAGGTGGATCCGATGCAGATGTGAGAGCGTGGATAGGAAACACAAGTGCTGTATTTCTACTACTGAACAACATCTAGAACTGAAAACGACTGCCAACCAACAACAAAATCCGAATCTCCAAAAAATATCGGGACAGTTCTAGTGTGCGGAGAGGAAACTTCGAAAATTATCAAAGCCGTCTTCTATAACATGCAAGTATTTATTAATAGTTTTTGACGGTAAACACTTTGGATCCGTTGGTCAGACAACATCAGCAACAATCTACTGTGAAAGACAGCAACCCAGATTACAGTGGCAGAGGGAAGCTGAAAGAAGGGGTGGAAGTGTACATAACACAAACTGAGGAAAGCGCACAAACGAATCACAAGACGTGCTCTCACTTGGAACCCTCAATGCTAAAAGAAAAGAGGAAGGCAAAAGAACACATTTCATTGAGAAATGGAAGCAGATATGAGCAGAATGAACAAATTGGACAGAACTGGAAAAAGAAGCACTGAGTAGGGTAGGTTGGAGAATACTGTTTGGCGATCTATGTTCCTTTAGGGGTAACAGGCGTAGTTAAGTTTGTAATAAATTCGCATGATCAATTTGTATCGATATGTCATTGATATCGAAGTAAGAACGGGCTATATATGCCTTATATATTGCTCCAAATTCAGTAGGCACTTTTGTGATATAAATCCTAACCTTAATTTAAGAAATTATATTCAGAACTACAGATAAACTTTTAACACCTAACGCTAAACTGGTCTCAGTTGGTGTCAAACACGCCGGAGTCATAAAAATATGATACGCTAACTCATCCAACCAGCCTGACTTTATAATAAGAAAACTTGATCACCACAAGGAATATTCTGACTTGTGAGAGTTGATTATTCTAATCAAAGCAATTATTCAAATGATATTTCATTGACTTTGGCTGTTATTCATTTTATAACCACCTCACCATTCCTGATCAACTAATAGACCACTGAACGTTGCCTGTATATTGTATTTTCAGTATATGTTTAGATCTGTAGACTTCTCTTTCTATAGATGATCATTATTGTTATTTTGAATTACGTTTTGACTGACTATTACTGAAACACATGGTTTTTCTAATCATTCTTGTAGACAAATACACAATATGATTGTGATTAGTTTCTTGTACAATATGAAAACAACCTTGAATAGGGATTTCGAAGAGTTTTATCCTTCTGATAACTGTAAGTACAACTGTCAATTATATAACTCTGGTGCACTATCGATTTGTTCTATTTTCATTGCTTTGTCTCGTATTGGAGTTTTTAAATAAGCGAAATTTTAACATGCATATTGAAATACACCTGAAATGAATGTTCAGTTCAATAATGATTCATTGAACATGATATGTGTTGAAAGCAATCGAGGACAGTTTAGTAGGACGATTACGGACAAAATTAGTTGGGCGGCGAGCAAAATCAATGGCAATCATGGACACGATGATCGTTGTTACTTAAAATTGAAATTATTTGTTGATTGTTGAGCATTTACTGAATGTCAATCAAAATTTTGAAAATAACTGTTTCCAACATTATTTAATGTATTGTAACAAAATGTTAATATCTTTCAAAAAAAATGTTAGATAAAGAGGTACCAACTTGTATTGACGAAGTGAAGAAAAATTTCAAGTGGACACTGAATGAATATCACGATTATTCTGATATAAGTGAGAGTATGATAAAAGAGGTCAGTTTCAAATATGATAAACTATTTTATACCTATTGTTCAAATTTAAATATATACACTTATGTATATAGCCTAACTATCCATGGGATAGGGTTAGGGTTAGGGTTACAATAGGTTACAATAACTATTGAATAATTTGCATTGTTCTAGTATTCCCTTTGATCAGTGCTTCTATTTATATTCATTAGGTTTATGAAATGTTCATTGAATTGAAGAAAACATTCGCTGACTCATTTTCACTGAGGTTATGGTACAACGAAGATGACCGAAGAAGGGCTGTCGACTTGGTATGTCCAATTTTAAAAAATTGTGTAAATATTAACCCGATTCATTATTCAGGTTAATAAAATTAGTTTATCCATAATTACTTCAAAGTCGTTGGGAGAAAATGAAAGAAAGAACCGAGATATAATATTCAAAGTACGTTCTTCAAGTGTCACACTAAAATTGTTTATGATTTACTAACATTAAGATTAATGAATGTGCTTAGTAAATTATTCACTGTATATCACCAAGGACATATTCCCGATGCATTTAGTCAGCTGTAATATGATATGGTTACGACATTCTCAGACAAACATAAACGTCTTTGTAAAGTCACATTATATGAGACAACAGTTTATGTTAACTATATAAAAACCAACCAAGCAAGTCTATCTGGTCTTTTAGACGAAGCTAGAAAATAGTGGTTTATAGAATGAAGAAAAAAGTGAAATGACTGATGTGTTTAAATACTGGAATTACATTTGAACAGGAGTGAGCTTTTCAGCTATTCCACAAGCATTATATTGGTTTATCTTAACTACTTTACTTGTAATTGGTTTTTCGTCCATATTTACTTCTGGATTCCCGTTGTTACTCACTTTCAGTTGACCTCAAACTTTATGATTGATTGACCTCTCCTGTTTAGGTTATACATAATGACAATGAAATCTTCGCAATTAGGCCATGCAGCACAGCTCAGTCAACATCTGGATAAGCGCCTTCAAAGTCTTAAAACATACATTATCAATAAATATATATTTTGCTTTGCAAAAATTCATTAGGAGATAGATGTACAAACGTAAGTCAGCGGACTGAGTCAGTATTTATCTACAGTAGGAAAATTGATGAAAAGAATTTCCTAATTATTATAGATTTCAAAGGTTTCAGCAAGTCTTACTATTTCGGTAGATGAAATAGCATTAAGCCAGATGAATATTATGTAACAAAATATCGACATCATCGATATTGCAATTAATAAGGATGGTTGTAGACATTTGTATAGAAAATCATCAGTTTACCAAGTTAGTGATTAATTGAAATCTGTCTTACTGAATACAAAATCTGGTATGAATTTTTAACCGGTCACTACTTCGGCGATACGTAGTTAAATTAGTTATTGTTATCTGGTAATCATTTAAAAGTATTGAAGTGTGTTGATATGATGTGAAATATCATGGAAAAAAACGAAGATCATAAGGAAAAATCACATCTTCACATAACTTTCTTATAAATGCAATTATTTTTAAAATGGTTATTTCAATTGATTCTGCGTTGTTCCTTAAGTAATTACAAAACCCTAAATAATTAAAGCTTTTGAATGAAATGAATTATTCAGGAATAAAAATGGAGTCCTTCCTTTGAACTCGTTATGTAGATCGATCTTTGGAGGTGTGATTTGTTTATGGTTTCGATTATTCTGTTGCTTTCGCTCGCATATTGTTTTGCTGACCGATTCGAACAGTTTTATGAGGCTTTGAAATTTCTTACGCAAAATGTCAGTAAGCCCTAATTCTCATTGACATTACCTACTTACTTGATCTGAAAAATGTTATGTGTTTGCGCTGTACATTTCAAACACTGAGGTCACACATATACTTGTCAAACAGTTGCATATGAAGATTAACAAAAGGTCAATTAAATAAAAGTTCAAATAGACAAAAGAGGATAACTGTAAATAAAGCAGAGAGAAAATTACAGTAAAATGAAAAGAATGAGAGACGGTAGGAAACTGTCACATTATCGTGGTAATCGTTAAGCCTACGGCAACGTGATAGTTTTCCACACTTTCTCATTTTTCGCATTTTACAGTAATTTTCTCCCTGCTTTATTTGCAATTATTGTAATTTTATTACAGATATAATAGTCCTGTTCATGCATCTTTACTATTAGTCAATCACTAAAAGATTGTCGATAAATAGGTTTATTGTTTCCAGTCTTTTTTAGTGGGTAGGAGCAGTTTGTTTGATTTACGATAATCCTTGCATATTAATCAATACCCCCACTGTAACACTTATTTTATATTATGAGATCCTACTGTTTAGTCTTTCTTCATGTCAGTATGTGAAGATCCAGCTTTATTTAAGCAGTGTCGTTTTAAGACACTTTTAGATAAATTTACTAGTACGTTAATTAAAGTAGGTTGATTATTTAACGAATGTTGTTCAGAATTAAGATAAGAAACATGAAATCACAAGTAACAATTTCATTCTCCGATCTCTGCATCAATCATTCATTCACTGATTGCTGTTATAAATGTCTTTATAACTTCGTCCGTTCCATTGTCATACTGTTTTATCAACCACTTCTGTTAATCACACCTAATATTAAAATTTTCCATTAAAAAGAGATGAAGAGCCAAAGGAAACGTCACATATTTCCATAGCTTCTTCAGAAATTCAATTATTCAATGAACGTATCCCTTGTTACCCAAACAATTACAAACACACTAAATATCTAGAGTATTTAAATGCAACAACTTTTCAAGAATATATATGAAGGGCTTCAGCTAGACTATTTCACTTTATTAACCTTCAATCTTTGAACTCTATGTAGATCACTCGTTAGAGGTTTGATATGTTCTTCTTCTGTTTTGTCTGGCATATTATTTTGTCGACCAATCCGATTTCTTTCATGAGACTCCGGAATTTTTTCGCGAAATGTCAATAAACCTCACTTTTCTTTGACATCATTAACTAGCTTACTTAGTTTATACTTAGTTAGTTCGTTAGTTAGTTATTTAGTAAGTTAGCAAGTGATTTAGTTAGTTAGTTAGTTAGTAACCTGCATACGCATGTAACCCCCTAATGAAGCACGGGTTGAAGACCAGTATTATTCACCTTACTCCGTCCTTGACGTTCTATTTCGATTCTAGCGACTAGCTTTTCTTGATAGTGATACGATCAAATTAAACATATTTTGTCTTTACTTTGACTTGTTTAAGGGTGTCAGCACATACATTTTCCCTATTTTATTTCAGATTTGATGTTCAGATTCATGCTGGTTTACTGACTATAAGTCTATCACTAAACGATTGTCGGGTTTCCCAATAATATACAGAACGAATTTTGGGGTTATGATAAAAAGTATTCCTTGTTAAGTTTCTTCTTCGAGAACGTTTGACTGATATTACTATGGTTGGAGCAGTCGATTAGCCACCATAGGTTCGTGTAGTTACAAGCGGATTACAGTTATCTGAGTTCTGTGTTGGCAGAAATAGGAGTTCACTGGTTTGAACACTTGGGAAATAAAGTTTCTGACACTTCCCTTTATGTGACGAATTGTTGACTATAAAGAGAGTCTGTTAAATTGCTTCATTTTTGTTTCAGAATAATTTTTCCGACAACAACCATTACTTGAATGTGTACTATTCCCAAAAGACTGAATTTCTTAGATCTATGCATGCAATCCTGAATGACGTTGACTTGTGAGTTGTATTTTTTAGTTATTTGTTTTGAGTATCTTAGCTAATCAAACAGGAGAAGACTTTCTGTTCATAGAACAAACACTCTCAATCACATTGTGATATACAACGCTTAATGTTTGGTACGATAAATTAGTAATTAGCATTGAGATGATCGACATGATTCATCTTATTTTATTGTCTACAGTGTTGTTTCTTTTCATTTAGGTATGTTCCGCAGAATGAAGGTAAAGATAACATTAGTCTAAGAGTTTCCTCCAATAATGTAGAAAGTAAAAATATATTGAACATGCGATACCGATGTAGCGATTCGGATTAAAACTTAAATTTCTAGACATACATTCACTAGTGAATATGCATCATTTCTGTTGTACTCTCAAGCCATCAATCATCATTAGTAGGTTTATCATACAAAACAGTGAGAAGAATAAATATGATCCGTTATATTTTATTCGCAGTTGAAGCCTTAGTCATGATGTTACATATTATCAGAAGATTTTTGAGCGGTGAGCATATGTTCGTGTTTGTCGTCATCATGTGTTTTAGTTTCCTACCTCACAATCCTTAGTACTTCGAGACCATACATTCAAATATCCGCCGTTAAGCAACTGTAATTAAAGCCTTTTCCACTGAACTGGCTATCCTTTGTACATAATGATTCATAAGGCTTCGTTACTCATAAGACTAACACGAAATTATTTTGATGACAGATTTATTCATCTATCTATTTTTCAAAATAAAAACGTTTATCGATTTCGATAAGTTAATTAATGTTCGTTGTGTATTTATACATATTTACAACTGGAATCTTCACTTTTATACCACACAGTTATAATCTTGATGAATCGAATTCCATAAGTATATCTACTGAGTTGATACATCCACTGTTTCTGAATGTATTACATTCAATGTCTAACAGTTATGGGATTCTCGGTTGGCTTATTGGTCGTCAACTAATATTTAGAGGTAAATTTTATGGTATTTCATCTTGCGTATCCTACTATTGACAAAACTAAGTATTCCGAAGTAATTGCGAACATTCGACATGCACTAATCTGATTTTATTTGGCACATGACCAACTGAGGAGTATTGATTGTATGTGTAAGCTGTTTCTGCTTAGTTATCGAATCTGTCTAAACTGAATCTGATTGACTAGTTAATGGTCTATAACCGACAACTATATAAGTGCTGAATACCAATGTGACCTTACTAACTTACCAACCTGAAAAGAAAAAGGCATGATCCACAAGATACTGTTTCCCTTAAGTTGGTCGATCGAATTTTAAGCGATATGAAATATACAGATTTCGTTTCATAACCTGCAAGTTTAAACTGAATTACTTACGATTACGGTGAGAATTGAAAATATTTATTCTGATTAGTTTACAAGTCGATGCTGGAAAGTCTTTCACGAATATGTCTAATATAATAAATATAGTTTTGTATAAATAAATGATTTAATTACACAGCTTCATCGCATGGTTACTATTGGTGTTATACTAATAAAAACTGTGAAACATGAGGCAAGCATTGTAATAT